CAACCATATATTCATGAAAAAAAGATCAGTTTGAATAAAGAAAGCAATAACTTTGCCATAGCATCCTTTCAAATGTTAAAGTTGCCTCAGTCATTGCATGCTTTGCATGTGCTGCCCCGCCCCGCCCCACCCCCCGAAAAAAGTTCAGGCTCAGGATTTTTTTTTGCTTTAACCCCTGATAGTGGCAGTAAAACACCAACAACTTTTATTTGTTTTCACACAAATTATGGGGGCAGAATATTGATTGATAAAGACTTAATTTCAAAAACTTTTACCAAACTAATACATTTTGATGTTTGCATCACAAAACCAGATTCATATACAGTATATGGATTTTCTGATGTTGTAAACATGCTCAGAAGCTCACCCGGTACACCCGGTACATTGCGATTTGGAGTGTGATGGCATGAGTTCTATGAAATATAAGTCACGACACTCAGGTAACTCAGGTAAATTGCATCAGCAAATGTGTTTTTATTTCATGTTGGCTTTTGTTGATGTTATCTGATTTAGGGTGTGGTTTAACTTAGGTTCTACGTTATTTTCAAATGCAATAGAGCATTAATCTATTAGCGCCACTCACCGGACATTTAATTTCTGAACTGGCATGATCTGTACAACAACCAACACAATAAAACTTTGCCAGATTCACGTTCGTCTGTTTCGGATAAAACTGAACGAGCTTTTACCACTTCTCACTGGACATTTCAATTTGAAAGTGTTGTTTCATTTGCATGTTTTTCCAATGAGCCTGGCTTGTTCCGTTAAGCCTGGGTTAAGAGTTAAGAGGCACTTCCTGTTTGTGTGTGAAGGCAATCAGCATTCCCACCTGGTCATTGTGAATTGGCAGTATGCAGCTGCTTGGAGCTGTCATTCAGAATTCTGGTCCACACGCACAAAACACACACCCACACACTGTTGAAGTTCAGGCCAGCCACAAAGAGGACAGTCTATGACCTCATCCTTCCTGTAGACATGGACTTCACTTCCTGTGAATGTTTGTCAGACTGCGGTGAGGAAGACTCCAGTGACACAGAGGGCAACCATTCTGAGTAATGCTACAGACGCTGTTGTTTGCTGTGTGTGTTTTGTGATGTGAGAAACCTTACAGTGTTGAATTTTTGGGTTACGCTGTGCCATGCGGTGAAAAATGCTTTACAATAATAATGGCTGATGATTAACACTGTTCCATTTGTCACTGATTAGGAAGAATTACAGTGGGTACGGAAAGTATTCAGACCCCCTTAAATTTTTCACTCTTTGTTATATTGCAGCCATTTGCTAAAATCATTTAAGTTAATTTTTTTTCCTCATTAATGTACACACAGCACCCCATATTGACAGAAAAACACAGAATCGTTGACATTTTTGCAGATTTATTAAAAAAAGAAAAACTGAAATATCACATGGTCCTAAGTATTCAGACCCAATTAAAAGACAAATATTTTGTCATTGAAAATTTCTTAAAAATAGTACTAAAATATTGTCTCGTTCTAGTGAACCAAGTATCTGCATTTTGTCTCATCTCTTGAGCTAAGTTTATTGTCACACCCCTAGTGTCGATATAGTGTCCAAGTGTATGATATAGCTTTCGTTCTTCGGTCAACCATATATTCATGAAAAAAATTTGTTTGAATAAAGAAAGCAATAACTTTGCCATAGTATCCTTTCAAATATTAAAGTTGCCTCAGTCATTGCATGCTTTGCATGTGCTGCCCCGCCCCGCCCCACCCCCCGAAAAAAGTTCAGGCTCAGGATTTTTTTTTGCTTTAACCCCTGATAGTGGCAGTAAAACACCAACAACTTTTATTTGTTTTCACACAAATTATGGGGGCAGAATATTGATTGATAAAGACTTAATTTCAAAAACTTTTACCAAACTAATACATTTTGATGTTTGCATCACAAAACCAGATTCATATACAGTATATGGATTTTCTGATGTTGTAAACATGCTCAGAAGCTCACCCGGTACAGCATTGCACTTGCGATTTGGAGTGTGATGGCATGAGTTCTATGAAATATAAGTCACGACACTCAGGTAAAATGGCATGGTTGCATCAGCAAATGTGTTTTTATTTCATGTTGGCTTTTGTTGATGTTATCTGATTTAGGGTGTGGTTTAACTTAGGTTCTACGTTATTTTCAAATGCAATAGAGCATTAATCTATTAGCGCCACTCACCGGACATTTAATTTCTGAACTGGCATGATCTGTACAACAACCAACACAATAAAACTTTGCCAGATTCACGTTCGTCTGTTTCGGATAAAACTGAACGAGCTTTTACCACTTCTCACTGGACATTTCAATTTGAAAGTGTTGTTTCATTTGCATGTTTTTCCAATGAGCCTGGCTTGTTCCGTTAAGCCTGGGTTAAGAGTTAAGAGGCACTTCCTGTTTGTGTGTGAAGGCAATCAGCATTCCCACCTGGTCATTGTGAATTGGCAGTATGCAGCTGCTTGGAGCTGTCATTCAGAATTCTGGTCCACACGCACAAAACACACACCCACACACTGTTGAAGTTCAGGCCAGCCACAAAGAGGACAGTCTATGACCTCATCCTTCCTGTAGACATGGACTTCACTTCCTGTGAATGTTTGTCAGACTGCGGTGAGGAAGACTCCAGTGACACAGAGGGCAACCATTCTGAGTAATGCTACAGACGCTGTTGTTTGCTGTGTGTGTTTTGTGATGTGAGAAACCTTACAGTGTTGAATTTTTGGGTTACGCTGTGCCATGCGGTGAAAAATGCTTTACAATAATAATGGCTGATGATTAACACTGTTCCATTTGTCACTGATTAGGAAGAATTACAGTGGGTACGGAAAGTATTCAGACCCCCTTAAATTTTGGATGCTAATTTTTCTGAAATAGTATAATGGATCTTGATTGGTTGTTTTCCTCGTATGAAGTACGTTTACATACACAATTATTAACAAACTAGAGTGAATAGTTGAGCTACAGTCTTCATCTGTCTATCCCAGTAGGCTATTCATACCACAATGCATAATTGATTAATGATTTAAAGGATTAAACTGCATATTTGATCTGACTTTTTTTTTTTTTTGAGCTACAGTCCCATTAGGTATTTTAGTTCGACTTCATAAAAATCGGACTGGTATGATTTTAATTGGGCTAAAGCTTTTATATGACATTATAAAAATACAAATTATTACTTTAGTCTGGCTGAAATCAAACCTTTAAAGTATATGCAAGCAAACTTTTGGATTAAATTATGACGGTATAAGATTTTATATCGCAGTAGCTGTGTTTTTTTTATAATAGCTATTTTTGCTATATTAATGTTTTATATAATAAATAACCATCTCATTTGATTATTTTATTTTGATTATTTAATGCTAAATCTCACATTATGTGACACTTCAAAAATATAAAACAAATATTATCAGTAATATTAGAGGTCGACCGATATTGGATTTTACTGATACCGATACATAGGTTGGACCACACTGGCCGATACCGGTTAATTAACCGATAGTTTTTAAAATAGATACTGAACAGAAAATAAAATCTAGTCAACAAATTAATCACTTAGTAATGATATGAAAACATTCACTACAGTATACTGTGTACAAACACCGTTTCATTGTCGATGTTTTAAACCCGCCT